GTGAGAAAATATGGATATTATAGTGTAATTTTATATATTACCAAACTAACAAGGCCTTTTGCTTCTGTATCTTCACCATTTGTCTTCAAAACTGCTTCTAATCCAGATATTAATTCGAAAAGAACAACCCCAAATGCATACACATCACTCTTAGTCGAAACATCTCCACACGCGTACCTGCATGAAGGGCAACAGATAACAAGAAAAAAAATGTTATTATTAAAGTTCATTAATTTTTTATTTTATTTTTTTCAAAATTGTGAAATTTTATAAGAAAATGTGGATTAACTTACTCGGGTGGCATGTATCCGAAAGTTCCCACAAGACGCGTTTGCAAAGAAGCCCCTCCGGCTTCAGTCAATTTAGCGATACCAAAATCGGCAACCTGAAATGGTGAATTATCGAGAGCTTAAATTAAATGCCTTTAAGTTTTGAGGTTTCAAGTTGAAAAATGTGCTCTATTTATGCGAAGGAAAACTAAATAAAAAGACCTTGGCATGAAAATTCTTGTCGATTAGAATATTTGCGGATTTTACATCACGATGAATATATATTGGAATCGTATGCTCGTGTATGTATTCGAGTCCTCTAGCAGAATCGAGGGCAATTTGCAGCCTGATGGGCCACGGTAATGGCTCTGTTACTGAAGAAAAAAATAAAAATCAAGTTTATAAAAAGGGGAAAAGGAAGGCATGTATAGAGAATTCAAAAAAAATAAATAAATAAAAAAATCTATGGCTTACCTTTGCCACGCAAGTGTTGGCTAAGGTTGCCATTGTCTATGTACTCATAAACAAGAAACAACGAACCTTTTACACAGTATCCTATCAAATGCACCTACATTTTCACAAAATACACGAAAAGATTTACTAATATACAAGTTAAATCCGAGATCATTACTAACTTAACTGCCAAAGGAGGAGTTGTTTATGTGTTTCAGTTAGTTACCAAGTTCACATGATGAACGTGTGTTAAGACCTTGAGCTCGGCCAGGAACTCCTTGGAAGCTTCCATGTCCATCTTTTTTATAGCAGCTTTCTGAATTTTGAAGTGGAAACAAGATATAAGTGGTACAAATACTATACAATCAAAAGTGAACTTTATTTGATAAACCCTGTTCGAGAATCGAGATGATGGACCAAATGCCAGAAGGGTAATCGAACAGAAATTAAATTAATCATCAAAAAAATTTATCATGGATCATACTGTAATAGAACCACACGGATTCATTTCATTTTTCGCACAAGTCCGTTTTGAGTTTTTTTTTTTTTTTTTTTTT